AGCTATTCGAAAAGAAGAATTTAACTGCCTATTCTCCCTCAAAAGGCTCAAGTTGGTGTCATCCTTGGTTCAGGTACTTCAAAAGGTCCTCTTGGACCCGCCTAGGGGGGATTCCCAGATTTTGACCCTTTTCCTCTTCTAGCTCTTTCAGTTGTGCCTCTTTTTTCAATGCCCTAACTCAACCCACTCCTCCTGCCAATCCCTTTCCTTCTAAAGAAGTGTGGGGGAGACCAGTCCCACCTAGGGCCGGAGCACTTCGCTGGGAAATAGCGCTCGAAAAAATTAATACTTGCAATCAACTTCAAAGAAAGAAGCCTTTTTGGTGCTTGTCCCCGAACTGGGGTACCCTTTGCTCAATGGTGAGTCTTGCTTTCACTTACTTATATCCTGCCCTTTTACTTCTTCTATTTGGGAGTGTTTTCTCTCTTTATTTGGTTGCAGGTGGACTTCCCCATCTAGCATTCAAAGCCTCTTCATCTATTCAGTTGGTAGTCGGATCAAAAAGAGGGGAAAATCTTGCAGAGGTGCACCAGGGCAGCGGTTTGTTGGACAATTTGGGAGGAAAGGAACCACAGGATATTTGCTGAAAAAGAAAGAAGCAGGGACACAATTATAAAAGTGATTACTTTGAGGGTAGCACAGTGGATAAAGACAATGAACCTATTTGATGATGCTCCAATAGAGACCATTGTGAACAACTTGCAGGAAATAGCAGTCTCAACTCCAAGCAGAATTAGTGTCCATCCTTTGTGGCATCCCTCAATGGAAGGTTTCATCAAACTCAACTTCGAAGGGAGCAGTGGAGGAAATACAGGGCCATCAGGGGTTGGTGGTGTTTTCAAATCAGAGGCAAGTTCAGTAATAGCTCTTTTTTCAGGACCAATTGGATTTGGGGATTCACTGAGAGCAGAAATTCTGGCTCTATTAGAGGGGGTGAAAAGCGCTAAGGAACTAAATATAAACAAGATGATTATTGAACGAGATTTGCAAGTGGTAATTGGCTGGATAGAGAAGACAAATGATGGGTTATGGACATACATTAATGAACAAAGGCAATTCAAGTGGTTAACTCAAGGAGTGGAAGTGTATATCCAATGGGTTAAAAGATGTGCCAATTCATTTACAGACGCTCTAGCTAAATAGGGAGTGGGAAGAAGTCATTTGTTTTGGGATACACTGTAATTTTCCTTTTGGGGGAGAGTTAAGAGAGTTTACCTCCCCCCACCTTTGTATTTAAACCTTTTTCTTAATTAATGAAAGTTATCTGTTGCTTATCAAAAAAAAAAAAAAAAAGTATGAGGCTTGAGCTTGATTCGAGCTAGAGACTTGAGCTCAAGTTCAGCTTGAGTCTAAAGCTCGTAAGCTCAAGCTCGGCTCGTCTCAGCTCAACTCGAGCTTGATTGTGAGCCAAATATTTTATAAAAATAAAAAATTATACATATAAAAAATTATTTTTTATTTGACATATAAAAAATTAAGGATTATAAAAACTAGTTATTAGTATAATATTATATATGAAAATAAAAATATTATATATATAATTTCTTATTTTTATTTATATATATTATTTTCTATATGTATAATATTTTTTATTTTTTATATGTTTAATATATATTATTTTCTATATGTATGTAAAAGCTCAATTAGGCTCGTGAGCCTCATGAGCCGAGCTTTATTGGGCTCGAGCTTGGCTCAATTAGAAAACGAGCCTATATATTGGACTCGAAGCTCGATTAAACTGAACCCAATCGAGCTTTTCGCAAGCCGAGCTTGAATAGCTCCTGAAAAGCTTGGCTCATGGCCACCCCTATATATAGGAGATGTACAAGGTTATATAAAAAAATAAAACAAAGAATAGCCCTCCCCCAAAACTAAAAATTAATGAGGTATAAAGCTACCACCATTCAAAAAGCCCTTTGCTCCACTAATCTTGCAAGACCATCTGCCACAACATTTAGGTCTCAAGGAATCCACTTGATATGTGCTAAGTTGGGCTTCAATATTTCCATAATCTCATTGAGGAAGTGTTCCAAACTCTAAGGGCTACCAACAATTCATCTCCACTTGATTGCATGGGCTGAATCGCCTCCAATAGAAAGCAAAGAGAAGTGTCAATACTTTTGAATTCAAACTCTGGTCCCTGTTAAGAAAGGTAACAACCTCGGCCTTAATTGAATCTGCATCCTCAATTTGTCTTACCTAGCCATGGGTTGAGGAAGAGTGTTTGTGAGCATATGCATGCAGGGTTCAAAGTATCAGAAATGCAAGGTGTATCGGAAAGACAATTTTAAGAGGTGTATCGAGATACATTTTGGATACACATGGATACAGACGAAAAATCAAGATATGCATAAATATGTTAGGAAATTCAAATAAATCATAAAAATATATATTATTAACAATACTTACAAGTTTTATATGATTGTAAATAAGTCATTTAAATGTAAAAAAAACATAATTTAATGTTTACACAAAATGTGACATATCGAGATATAATTAGTAACCGTTGAAAAGTGATGGAATAACTAAAATGTGAAAAAAACAAAAAAAAAACTAAAATGTGAATGTATATACATCAATTTTCAAATAACCAATATAATTATCTTAATATTTATTAGTATATAAATTTTAATAATTAATTTCAGCATTTATTAATAAGCATCACTAAGAAAAGAGAAAATTCACTTAAAACTAAAAATGCATATAATTACAATAAACAAATCAGAGTGGTTTAATGGCGAAATTATGGTCATTAAAATCTAGTGACTAGGGTTCAAGTCTTGCTATTGTTAATATTTATAGTTTTTACACTAACAAAACGAAATTAATGAGAGAGAGAATCATTAATTAATAGAATTAATGAGAGAATTGTAATTAGGTGCTAAAATTCAAATTTAAACTTAAATTTGCCTTAAATATAGGAGTAATTAACTAATTAATGAAGAAGTTAGACTTAAATATAGGAGTAATAAACGACATTAATGAGAGAGATTCGGTATTAAATATAAATTAATGAAATCAATGGAACAAGGGGAACCGAAACGGTTTGGTTTGTATCGGCTTGTTTTGGGCTTGTATCGACCAATACAAATCCGAAACAGCTCGATACGGGCCCATATCGGCCGATACATACGAAAAGAAATGGAACACATGAAATCAATGCAATCAATGGAACAAGGGGAACCGAAACGGTTCGGTTTGTATCGGCTTGTTTTGGGCTTGTATCAACCGATACAAATCCGAAACAGCTCGATACGGGCCCATATCGGTCGATACATACGAAAAGAAATGGAACACATGATTTTTACACGTTTCGTGTATCGGTTTCTTATCGAAATGGTATGTAGAAATGGAACACATGATTTTTACACGTTTCGTGTATCGGTTTCTTATCGAAATGGTACGTATCGGCCGATACGGCTTGATACGTTGCGATATTTTAAACCTTGTATGCATGTCTTGGGTAGGGTTAGGGGCAGGGCATAGGGGGCACCTAGGGCATAGGGAGGATCTGAAAATCTCGAGCAGTTGTCCACTAAGATCGTCAAGAGATACTCCACAGAATTCCCCAGAGGATGACACCTGCAAGCTTATTAGAAGAGATAGGCTCAAAACCAAGCATATTTGAGTTATCGTGCTTCTCATATAAAAAGATCATGCAGTGGTGTCTTCATGCAGCTATTCTATTTCCATGGGCAGCATGGGAATAGAGGAATAGAAAAGTTTTCTACGATAATATCTCAATTGATGATTTTCTAAGGGCTAGTTCATATCTAAGAGGCAAGTGAATAGACATGGGAGCCCCATTAGAGCTGAGATTATGGCACTACTTCAGGTCCAAGATTGATGTTCTCCGTGAGCATTCAGCAAATCAGGGCAGAGAGTCACTTGCAGGTTGTGACTGGATGGATGAGAGATGACATGATGGTCCATGGCTTCTGGCATCATATCTAGGAGAGTAGTCTTGGCAGCCAGATAGAACACTTAGTTCAGCTAACCCTGAAGATCAGCTCACTCATTAGTGGATAACCTTGCTATAGCAAGAGTTAATATGGCATAGTTTATACTGTGGAGCTGCCATCCTCTAGTGAACTTGTGGGTTTTTCCAACAATGCATCTTCTGGGGTTTTTGTTGTGTTGGGTATATCAGATTTTCTAGACATCTGTCGATGTAAATTTTTGTACTTAATTCTGTTTGGGTGGAAACTCCAGCTCAGTATGGTCTTACTCCAAGCTGGTACAGTGTGAATTCGAGAATAACAAACATTTTTAAATTAAAAGACTAGTATGGCGAGCTACAATTATTAGTAAAAGGACTGTTTGGTTGAGACTCGCAATCCACATAAAGTTGAAAAATACCTTCTCTATTGCAAGGGAAAGATACCTCTTTTCTATATAAACATTTTAGGTAGTATGCTGTTTAGTTATAATAGAAGTTTCGTACTATGGGATTTTAGAACACTATGACTTGCAGCTTATGGTGTTTTTGGGTACAAGCCACTTCCCGTCACCTCTGAATCAAACATCATAAAATACAGAATATCAGATCGCAGACCCAAGAAGGAAGAACCAGAAAGCATATTGGAAGGTCTTGAGCTTAAATTGTCTGTCATATATTGAAGCTTATGATAGGAACTGGGAAAAAATCACATGGAATCTGGACTATTTTCACTTCAAGTGCCAAGCCCTTGGATCTCTCTACCTCTTTCTCCTTTCGAAGATCATTATGTACACTTTCATCAACACTTCAAGTAGGGCTTTTAACAATCCAAAGTAAGCATTTCTGACTCCGATCGTATCTCGCATTTGTCTGCTTTACTTTAAGACACATATTTGATTCTCAATTAACCAGTGAAAAAGGAAATAGCTCAATTTGGCTACCTATGTCAGAAAACCCGGTTCGCGATCAATCGGGACAATATCGAACTCTAGTAATAACAACCCCAATTATATATTGGAACACATCATCATTAACAGAGAGAGAGAGAGAGAGAAGGCACCTGGAGGGAAGAGGAGTCGTCGGGACGGAGAGGATCGACGGATAAGACAACCTTAGCGACGGGGTGGGAGTCGGAGGCATGAGACTGCCAAGACTTTGACACAACGAGGGGGCACTTCATCAGCCACACCGATCTCTCTGCCTTACCCGTCTCCAGGGTGCTGCTACGTTCTTCCTCCATGATAAACTTTCCTTCAGCCTCTCTCTCTCTCTCTCTCTCTCTCCTGCTCTGCCTTTTAGTGTTCACAGTGATGTCCGAAACTTCGGCAGGTTTGAGATGGAGAGTTGATTGAAACCGTTTAACAGTTGAAGTGCACCAGCCGGCTTACGGAGACAAGGAAAGAGCGTCTACGGCATTCGGACAACCCAGCCAGGTGTGAGCCTGTGAGGTGTGAGGTGTTACTACATACGGTTAACGGCAGAGAAAAACTTTGGAACCCATCCCTATGACACCGTGATGCAATCCAGTTCATTAGTCACGTTTCAGGAGTTCTCTTGATTTGGCATTCAAAAAGAATCCATCTATTGGACGGTTAAGATCATTTATATCTTTTTAAGTTCTTTCGGTGAGCTTCACCCCCGGACTGTACCCTAGTGCGCATTTACAATTGACACTTGTATTTCTGTTTTCTTTTTTTTTTTAATATATATATAATCGAACGACACTACATACTTGGGCTCTAACTTCGAATTAAGGCTGCTTTCAAATTAATCATCGACATGTTAAAGTGAGTATGGGGTATCAATTCTTTGAATTAAAAACTTTTGTGACAATCCTTTCAACTATGCAAAAGAAAATCACTTTATACCCTTAGGTTATGTTTGGTTTGAAGGAAAAGGTAGGGAAAGGAAAGGAAATGCAGGGAAGATCTAAGGGTTTTCCTGCATTTCTTTTCCTTTTTTTACCTTTTCCTTCAAACCAAACACAGCCTTATTGATGGATTCATTAGATAATCAATAAAATAATAAAAGCATGGTTATGTGGTATTGTTCAAATTTAAAAAAAAAAAATTGTTTTAGATGTTAAAAAATCTATTAATTAAAAAATAAGTTTTATTAATCTTGAAGTAAAATACTTCAAAAATTTTATCAAATTAAAGTTATTAAATTATTAATAATTAATTTATTAAGAATAAATTATTACTTAAAAACTAACTTAATTAGCCTAACTAATAGCAAACTAACAATCACTTAATGTATTTAATTAACTTAGTTAACTTAGTAACTTAATTTGCTTAATTACATTCATTTACTTAATTTCTTTAATTACTTTACTTAATTAATTAATAGTAACTTAATTTACTTATTTATCTTAATTAGATTTGATTATTTAACTACTCTATTTATTAAGCTTAATTTATTTAATGAATTAGTTAATTCACTTAATTGCATGGTTTTAAAATTGTTATTAACTTAAGCGACCAACCCATTCGACCCAAGAATCGGTTAATTGTCCAGTTTCATTTAATGCATGGCTCAAAATTTTCCAAAAAAAAGAAATTATTGAATTGGTCAGAAAATCATTAACCGAAACGGTTGAACCGTTAAACTCTCATTAAATGGTTTTTAAGGCTTTTCTTAATTATCTTTTATTTTTTAAACGTCACGGGCTAATCAATTTTGAATTGGACAATCAAATTAATGACCATACGGTTGAAATGCTAAACTCCCAATGAATGGTTTTCAGAGATTTTTTAATTATTTTTTAAAAGGTCACAAGCTGATCCTTTTGGACCAAATAATTGAACTACTGACCCAAAAAATGGTGGCCAAAGTAATTCCATTTTTGGGTCGGTTTTTAAAATGTTGCTTAATTGGTTCAATTTACTCATTTAGATCAATTAGTTGTGTTTATCTAATTTAATTTACTTATTTAATTGCTTAATTTACATAATTGTCTTAATTTACTTAATTGTCTTAATTAGTGTAATTCATTTAATTCAGTTAATTAACTTTATACTACCATAGAACTTGAAATTATTTACTTAATTAACTTTATTAAAGTGGCATTTTCAAACTTAGTGTCTAAAACGGCCTTTTCAAACTTGACCAATGCCGCATAAGCATGTTTTTATTATTTTATTTATTGCCTAATAGATCTATTAAAGATGTCTCTAATGTCATCTTTCTTTGCCTCAAAGTGACCTTCCATGCGAAAATGGCCCTCTTAATTCTATAGGATCTAAATTGATTTTTTCGCAAAGTTCAATGGTTACCAGAGCCATATTTAATAGGGTTTGATTATGATACATGAATATGCAAGAAGCTTCAAACTTTTCCACAGTAGATCATCCATATACCATATTTAATAGGGTTTAACTATGATATAGGAAAGACATGATACTTATAACCAATCAACTAGCATCATAAAAGTGATTTCCAATCAGGTGGGGGTTCATCAAAATTCATGGGGTTTTTGATTGGTCAAAGTCTTTCTGCTTTTACATCATAGATTTTTCTTATTTAATGGTCAACAATGAATTAGTTGTTGTGGGCTTGGGCCTGTAGGGTGGGTTTCATGGAAAAACTTTGGCTATTGGCTAGGCTATTCGGAACATTCTTGGGTATGACACATCAACCCATTCAATGTGTAACAAATCACTTCTTCTAATTCACATAGTTGGTGGTCTTTTATGCATGTGCCCAAACCATCTTAATCTACTCTCCCTCATTTTATCACCTATTTGACCTACTTCTAGGTTCTTATGGATAACTTCATTCCTAATCATATCCTTTATAGTTTTTATATTCATCCGTTTTAACATTTGCATTTTTTCCATGTTCATTTTCTAGACATGTTGTTTCTTGACTGCTCAGTACTCCATACAACATATTTGGCTTCACAACTGTTTTATAGTTTTCCTTCTAATTTAAGTGATATTTGCCTATAACATAAAAGTCCAGATAGACCCCTCCATTTTTCCCATCATACTCGAGTATGTAGTATAGGTGTCATATTATAATATTTATAAATAAAATAAAATAAATCTATTAGTATATATTAATACAAAGATGGCCACATCAAATGGCTTCCCCCTTTCACCCCATGGCCCATGCCCAATTGAAGCTTATCCTTGCTCCTCAAAATACCATTCCTTACACTCTCATCTTGCCACCTCATCACCTCTATTTTCCTAAAATCTCTCTCTCTCTCTCTCTCTCCCCCCCCCAATCACCCAATCATTTCCACCTAAATTATCTCCCCACCTAAAACTTCCTCCTAAATTATCGTCAATGTATTAAAATATTAATGTTTAAAACTTAAACATTGAAAAAAGATGAATAAAAATATCTAAAATATAATAAAAAATAGATAATACAATAAGACAAATAATAAAAGTAAAGTAAATATTTAATATTTATTTAAAAATATGTTTATAATTACAAATAATACAAATACAAAATCAAATACAGTTAATTAATTAAGTAAAATTAATTACTCTCAAATAATTACTATTATTCATTCAATACTTAATTAATTATAGTTAATTAACTAAGTAGAGTTGATAATTAATTATGCTTAATTAATAAATGTTAAAAAATTACTCTTAATAATTGATAAATAATTATAGTTAAATAATTACCAAACTTTTTGAAAAAGTAATTTAATAGTAAATTACCATATTTAATGAATTATTTAAATTATAATTATTGTTATTTTAGTTACTGTAAAATTACTTCATGGTAATTAAATTAAGAGTAATTATAATTAAATTATTATTGACAATTACTTAAATTATTAAGTATAAATATAACTAATAATTATGGTAATTATAATTGGAAATTATCATAATTTATGTAAACTATGTTACTTGAAAATTCACCAAAAAATGTTACTTAATTAGTTATCGAACTATTGGAAAAAGTAATTTAATATTAAATTACCATATTTAATGAATTATTTAAGTAAAACATCACTAATTAAAATAATATTAATTTAATAGTAAATCACTATTAAATTAGTGAATTTACCATAATTTTTTTAAGTAAAATAATTAAAGTGGTGTTTGGCACATCTTTTCAATGTGTCTTATGGTTTGTGGAAAGCTCAAAAAGACCAAAAATGGTCTTTTCCATTTGGTATTGTGTCGACCAAAAGACCCGATGCATGTAGAAAGACTGAAAAAACGAAAAATCAAGAAGATTTATATGAAGCTTTTGGCCTTTCCGCTTTAAAAATAGTCTTCCTAGTTGTTTTTAACAACCCGATAGACCACGATACGAGCCAAACAATCTTTGTCTTTAAAGACAATACCCCAAAAGCTCCATGCATCTTCTTGTCTATAGGGTTGGGTGGGTTGGCATTTTTTACTCAACCCTAATATGCTTCCACTCAAACTCAACTCGATACTATGCAATTCCAAAACCTGCCCCAACCTATAGGGTTCAACTCAATACATACCCAACCCACCCTGTAGTCTTTAAATTGTACTTTTGTGATACTTTTTGAAAACTCAAGAACCATCTTCTTTCAAGGTATCGTTTCTCCAAAGTGAAAGAAAAAAAAAAAAAAAAAAAACAAACAGTAAAATAAATAGTTTGAAGGAAAAGGTAGGGAAAGGAAGGGAAAGCTATGGAACCCCTACCTTTCCCTTTCTTTCCCTGCATTTTCCTTCAAACCAAACAGAACCCAAGGTTAGAGTTAGAAGTCAAACCAAACTCTAACTGGACCCTACACCCTAATAAACCTAACCCTAATCTGACCATGTAGGGGTGAGTCAAGGTATCGTTTCTCCAAAGTGAAAGAAAAAAACCAAAAATAAATAGTGAAATAAATCATATATTTTAAGGTTAGAAGTAGAAGTCAAACCAAATTATAAGAATACCCTTTATATGTATAGGGTTATTATAACTTGATGGGTGGGGGTTAGCCAAACTTGAACCCAATTTGGGTTGAATAATCAGAACTCTAATCTAACCCTACACTCGATTTGGGTTAAAACAAATATTGAAAAAAAAAATATAAGCTGTAAGGTTAAGGGTTAGAAGTTAGACCAGATTGTAAGAATACTCTTTATGTGCAAGGGTACTATGGGTTAAATAATCAAAATTCTAACTAGACCCTACACCCTAATAAGCCTAATCCTAATCTGACCATGTAGGGGTGAGTCAATCAAATTTACCATTTAACTTCCTATTGACATCCCTATACAATATTAGCCATTATCACTAGGGTTTCAATTTGGATTGTGGTCATAACAACTAAATATAACTCAAAAATATAATACTTGAATGGGCTTGGATTGACTTGGCTTCAATTAGAAATACCATAAGCTCCTTCTACTTCAATTTTACATAACAAAGCCCGTTCGTTGCACGAGTCCCAACTAATACAACATAAATATATATATTAGGCATGTATAGATAACATATATAAGAATATATACAAGACAGGCCTGA